CAGAATCTCTATAAAATGTGAAGGAAGAAGAAGAGAAAAGAATAAAAGAAAAATAAATAAAAGAATATAAAACAAATGAAAGGAAATACAATAAATGGAATCAGAAACTACAAAATATCAAAGAACCCCCCCTAAGAAAAAAAATAAATAAATAAAAGAAAATACAATAAATGGAATCGGGATGTACAAAAAAAATAAAGGAAAAGTCAAAAGAAAGGACAAACAAACAAACAAACAAACAAAACAACACAAAAAAAAATAAAAATAAAAAGAGAAAATACAATAAAGCGAATCTGAATCAACAAACCATAAAGAAAAAGTCGAAAGAACAGACGGAAAGAGTACGGAATTCCCTGTTACGGCGGGATTTCCAACGTCCAGTCCGGTTTACGTCCTTATAACGTTATTTTTACGGTCAGCGAGAGTAAATGTTCCGATATGGAATTTCTTTCCTTTTTATATGTTTTTTTTTTTTTTCTTTTTTTTTCTTGTCTCAGGATCTTTTGTTTCGTTTTCGTTTTGTTGTTGTTGTTGATGTTGGGTTCGTAGCTTATACTTATTGTTGTTATTATAGTTATTGCTATTATTGTTATCATTATCGCTATGAGAGAGAGAGAGAGAGAGAGAGAGAGAGAGAGAGAGAGAGAGAGAGAGAGAGAGAGAGAGAGAGAGAGAGAGAGAGAGAGAGAGAGGGAGAGAGAGAGAGAGAGAGCGAGGCAGAGAGAGAGCGAGAGAGAGAGAGAGAGAGAGAGTGAGAGAGTGAGAGAGAGAGATGAGAGATGAGAGATGAGAGATGAGAGATGAGAGAGAGAGAGAGAGAGAGAGAGAGAGAGAGAGAGAGAGAGAGAGAGAGAGAGAGAGAGAGAGAGAGAGAGAGCGAGGCAGAGAGAGAGAGAGAGTGTGTGTATGTGGGTGTGTGTGTAAGTGTGTATATGTGTTTGCACGCGCGTGCGTATATGTATAAGAAACGAATCACATCACGCTACACTGTTCATCTTCCACATCCTAAAGTCTTAAGAAAATAGAAAACATTAACATCCTCAAGGGTGTATTTATACTGTGCTCAAGTAATTTCATTAATTGTACTATCTCACAGTTACCGAGTTTCCTGATCGAGTGAAATTAATTGAATCTCAAGACATTATTTCCTCACGAGGTTAAGAAAGGTTGTTCTCAGACAGATTGCCAAGAGTAGGCATAGACTGGCAAAACTTTTCCTATCTATTGTAACAAGTTGGTGAATTGAGAGTGACATTAACAGCCTGTGGTTTTACGTTAAAGGAATTAAGTCGTATTGTTTCTTGAGTTGAGTGGAAGACGAAGATCAGCGAAATGATGAGTTGTTGGGAATGAGTTATGATTCAATTATAATGATTATAGTGACATACTTAATGATGATGATAGTGATGCTATAGTGATAATGAAGAGGAGGAAGGAATAATGATATGAATAAAAAATGGTACTGATAATGATATTGCTACTACTACTGCTACTACTAATGATAATAATGATAATAACGATTGCTTTGATAATAAGGATAACAATAATGATAATAGTAAAGAAAATGATGATAAAGATGATAATAATGGTATTATCAACATCTTTATTTTCATTATCATTATTATTATCAACATTATTATTACCATTGATATTATTATTATCATAATCAATAGTATTACCATCATCATCGTCATCATCATTACTATCATTATTACTAACAACTATACCTACAACTCTCAGACAGTTAAACAATCAAACTATCAAACAGTCAAACAACCCAATAATCAAACGGAAAACAATCAAACAGTCAAGCAATCAAATAGTCAGTCAAACGGTCAAACAATCAGTCAAAGAGTCAAACGATCAAACAATCAAATTATCAAAAAATCTAACAGTTAAACAATCAAATAATCAAACAATCAGTCAAATAATCAAACGGTCAAACAACCTAACGATCAAACAATAAAATGGTCAAACAATCAGTCAGTCAAACAAACAATCAAATAATCAATCAAACAAACAAACGGTCAAACAGCTAAACAACAAACAATCAAATGATCAAACAATCGAAGTCAAACAATCAAACGGTCAGGCAATCAGTCACATAATCAGATAGTCAAACAAACTCAAACAAGCAGTCAAGCAATCAAACAATAAAACAGAAAAACAATTAAACGGCCAAACAGTAAAACAATCAAACGGTTAACCAATCAAACTAAATCAAACGGTCAAACGATCAAACAGCTAAACAATTAAACGGTCAAACAATCAATCAAACGGTCAAACAATCAAACGGTCAAACAATCAATCAAACGGTCAAACAATCAATCAAACGGTCAAACAATCAAATGGTCAAACAATCAAACGGTCAAACAATCAATCAAACGGTCAAACAATCAAATGGTCAAACAATCAAACGGTCAAACAATCAAACGGTCAACAATCAATCAAACGGTCAAACAATCAAACGGTCAAACAATCAAACGGTCAAACAATCAATCAAACGGTCAAACAATCAATCAAACGGTCAAACAATCAAACGGTCAAACAATCAAACGGTCAAACAATCAATCAAACGGTCAAACAATCAATCAAACGGTCAAACAATCAAACGGTCAAACAATCAAACGGTCAAACAATCAAACGGTCAAACAATCAATCAAACGGTCAAACAATCAAACGGTCAAACAATCAAACGGTCAAACAATCAATCAAACGGTCAAACAATCAATCAAACGGTCAAACAATCAATCAAACGGTCAAACAATCAAACGGTCAAACAATCAAACGGTCAAACAATCAAACGGTCAAACAATCAATCAAACGGTCAAACAATCAAACGGTCAAACAATCAATCAAACGGTCAAACAATCAATCAAACGGTCAAACAATCAATCAAACGGTCAAACAATCAATCAAACGGTCAAACAATCAATCAAACGGTCAAACAATCAAACGGTCAAACAATCAATCAAACGGTCAAACAATCAATCAAACGGTCAAACAATCAATCAAACGGTCAAACAATCAATCAAACGGTCAAACAATCAATCAAACGGTCAAACAATCAAACGGTCAAACAATCAATCAAACGGTCAAACAATCAAACGGTCAACAATCAATCAAACGGTCAAACAATCAAACGGTCAAACAATCAAACGGTCAAACAATCAATCAAACGGTCAAACAATCAAACGGTCAAACAATCAAACGGTCAAACAATCAAACGGTCAAACAATCAAACGGTCAAACAATCAAACGGTCAAACAATCAAACGGTCAAACAATCAAACGGTCAAACAATCAAACGGTCAAACAATCAAACGGTCAAACAATCAAACGGTCAAACAATCAAACGGTCAAACAATCAAACGGTCAAACAATCAATCAAACGGTCAAACAATCAAACGGTCAAACAATCAAACGGTCAAACAATCAAACGGTCAAACAATCAAACGGTCAAACAATCAATCAAACGGTCAAACAATCAAACGGTCAAACAATCAAACGGTCAAACAATCAAACGGTCAAACAATCAAACGGTCAAACAATCAGTCACTCAGGTAAACGGTCAAACAATCAGTCGTTCAATCAGTTAAACAAACAACCAAACGGTCAAATAATCAAGCAATCAAACAATTAAACAATCAGTTAAACAAACAATCAAACAGTCAAGAAAGCCATTAAAAAAACAGGGAAAAAAAGGAGGAGAAACAACACAAAAATTCTCAAGTCATTTCCGAGTCGAACTTTCCCTAGTAACAGAGGCTAGCCAGACACGCCATCTCTTAGTCTTCTTTGCATTTTAATTCGTAACGGAGACTTTTTTTCTTTTTTTTTTCTTTCTTTCGTGTTGGCCAAAGAGCGA